TGCAACAAGAAGAAATTAAGAGAAAGAACAAATTATCAATCAGTACATAACTACAGAGTGATAAGTCTTGCATGGAACTGAGAAAAATGATGCAAATGTTTAATGTAAAATGCAAAACTGTTTGAGAAACTCACACAGTGATGCGCCCAAGCGTCTTTTCTGTTTATCTCATAGCGATTTATGGAAGCTACAGCAGATTCGTCCATTTGACCAAGTTCTAACAATGGAAAAGCAAGTATACTGTGTATGTAACTTTCTTCTTGATTCGCAGGTAAAGCCTACAATATTAAGCCGATGCAAAACTTTAATACCCTTAGACAGTGAATCATTCAGTGACTGTCAATTTGATGAGAGGTAAAGTACCTGCCTGCTGAACAAGACCCAAAAAGTGATCAAGTTGACCTATGTAGAAACAGAAAAGCTGTGCTCTCCTCTTCAGAGAGGCCAAATCCCTTGGGAATCGTTTAGTAGCTGCAACCGACAATTTTTGATTCAAACAAGGTACTCAATGGCAAAATTCAGCAAGTTTCAGAATATATGCATATGTAATTAGGATCTTAGAATCATCAGAGAGCCAACGAATTCTACATTACAAACTATAATCGTTGTACTGATGGAAGATTCGCAAAGATAAGACTAGACCCTGGAATAATAAATAATTCAGGTAAAATAACAATACAAGTGAGAACCATGCAACCTTGGTGTGCATTTTCAAAGCCAAGTCATCATCCCTGTCCTCGAAGCCACTTTCTCATAAGATAACAATAGAAGTGAGAACTAACAGCCTCGAAAGCCGCTTTCTCATAAGGTGTGGATTGTTCCCGAAGCCAACGAATTCAGCTCCATAATGAGCCAAAGTGTATAATTCTCATAAAATGATCAAATCCTAGTCATAAATCCCATTGAGGAATCATAATTGATACTACTATTTATGAAACTCTGCCTTAGAGAAACCTCAATCGCTTTAAATGGAAGTCATGAAACAGAACACAAAGAAGTTGTATCGACAATCACAAGCCATGTTCAAATCAATTTCAGCATGTCTGTAACTAGAGAGGGGTGACCTAATAAGAGAAACTTCTTGATAATAGGGTTAATCGCGTCCTGAAGAGGCATTAACCCACACGGACACATCTCAGTGCTTTCTCCATTTCAAGAATCAGAGCTTCTTCTCGCTGAAACCTCGCCGCTTTCTATATGAGCACTTCGTCTTTTCTTCTGGGTTGGTTTGAGATAAGACTATGGAACCATGAATGATTTGAAGGGGACAGCGAGTTTTGCATTTTCCTTGTCTGGAAAAAACACGAGGTCGTCTGTTGTGATGAGTGACGTCTTCCCTTTTGGGGTTTCTCGCTTTTTTTTCTGTTTTTTTTTTCTCGTTAAAAGTCAAACAAATAGAGATATGGTCAGCATGAAAAATTTGTAAATTTTGTTATTGAAAAATGAATTAAGATATTGAAAAATAGATATAAAAGTTTGTCAATTTTGTTAATTTTTTTCCTTTGACACTGTTTATAAACTATGTTAATTGTAGTATTTATATACACGTTGGTTTTATTTCTTCATCTCAATCTTAGTTTTTTTTATTCCTATCAGTTTTTCTTCTTTTCCTTATTCTTTTTATCGGTTTCTTCTTCTTTGTCTTATCTCATTTTTTTTATTGTACTCGTGCTCTTCTTCAAATTTTCTTTGTTCTTACTAGTTCCTTTTCTTCTACTTATTCTTGTGTATTTTCTAGGATTACTACTTTCGCCCAAATGTTTTAGATTTCTTTCCTTTGTAATTTCTTTGTTCTTCTTTGAATTTTTGTTTTCTTCCTTTCGATTTGTCTTCGTGTTCGTGTTTGTATCGTTATTTTTCTTATTTCTTTATTCTTCATCGTCTTTGTTTTCTTCTTTTGATTATTCTTCTTCTTATTCCTCTTCTTTCATTACTCTGTTTTATTGTGTTTGCCTTATCCGACTTCTTGTTCTTATTCCTTTTCTTCTGGTTTTTTATTTATCTTCTTCTTCTTTTCCTTATCTGACATATTTTTCTTTATCTTTTCTGGTTTTTATTTGTTGTCTTCCTCGTATACATGATCCTCTTCCGTTTCTTCTTTGTTTCCTTCTGTTTTCCTCATTCTTCTACTTTTTCTTATGTTTCTTCTAGGATTATTATGTGTGATTAAAGTTGCTAGATTTTTTTTCTTCGCGAAATTTTCGTTCTTTTTTTTACTACTTCTTTTAGTTTCGTATTTGTCTTATTTTTCTTCCAATTTTTGTTTGTTCTCTTCTTTTTTTTTTCATGCTTCCTTTCAGTTTCTTATTCGCTTTTATATTCTTTTTTTTAGGATTGTTACTTGCGGTGAAAATCGTTATATTTTTAAAAAAGAAAAATATCTTTTAAATTTTCGTTTTTGGAAACTAGATATGATAGAATATTCACTAACCCTAAATCTTATAAATACATAATTTTCAAAACTAACCTGCCAACACATGCTACATCGCGTAGAAGATATAAATATGGTAAAATTTCTATTATGGTCGCGGTAGAAGATAGAGAGAATGGCAGCATGTGTATTCAAGATTTGTTAATGTTTAGAGCAACTGAGCAAGTAGTAAAAAGGCTTCTACCAAATCGTAGAATACACAGCATGTGTAAGAACTTAAATTCTATATTTGGTAGATATATACCAAAAGGCAGAAAAAATATTCTTTAAACTCGTACAATCAGAAGACAAATTCTAGAAAATGTAGAACAAAGTTACAAATTATTTTTAACTTCGATTTTTTGGAAATAGATATTCCAATATATTCATATGGAGTATTTTATCCGTTTCTATAATTTTCCCATTTTTGAAAAATTATAAAACTATTTATTTTTAATTACTTAAAAGTGATTAAGGATAATATACACAAAAAATGACAAAGGTTTATTAGGACAGTAGCTGTGCCAATTTGTCCTCATTTAGCAAATTTTTTTTTCTAAAATAGAGAAGACAAAAACAACTTTAAAAACATGCATATTGACCCACAATATCTGTAGATCTCAAAAGTAATAATATTTTAATTTTTTTTTACTAAATTAAAATATTTATGATGTTGAAATTTTTTGGTAAAGTCAAAATATATATAGTAATATAAAACTTAACTGAGTATATATTTTAGATCTATAATATTTCTATATAATTTATTTCACATTTATCGTATTAATTTATGGTGTATTTTTTTCAAATTAAGGTTCAGTTATTTCTTGTATGTTTGATCTCTTGTCTTTCTCTAATAATAATAATGCTAATCTATTGTGTACCCTTTTTATGGGGTTGGATTTTGGATTTAAGATTGAGAAATTTCCTAAAATACCACACAGTTTTTTTTTTTAAATATCACCATTTTCAAAATTTCCAAAAACACAACATACACAAAAGTTGATTTTCAAGGGTTTGAAAATTGAGAAATTTCAAAAAATACCACTTTCCAAGTGCTACTTTTTAAAAATGCCACATTTTCAAAATCTTTGCAAAAATGTCACTTTTTAAAATTATTTTTTCATTATATAATTTATGTTTGGGTTAACTATATTGTATTAGGGTTTAGTTTTAAGTGTTTAGGGGGTTTTAGGGGTCAACACATTT